GATGGGTGAGCACTTTTCGATGGAGATGCCTTGACCAGTAGCCTAGTCTATTTCAGAATTACAAAGTTCTATCTGACATTCTTAGCCGTTTTGAGTTACTATAAGACGACTTATCAAAAATGAAATGCTCTATCTGTTCTATCAAAATCGTAGTATTATTCTGATTCGTTAACAAGACATTCAAAGAATTGACATATTGTGAAACTTAAGATCTTTGACGTCAAATTTCTCAAAACAAGGTACTGAGCAGATAGAGCTTTGTAATTCTGAGGTAACATAGTGCTGTGCGACTGTGCGACAGAGACCAGTCATTTGTGAACTTGCCTCCGCTTCCACCTCCCAAGAATGACTAGATGGTCTGCGTTGCCGACACGAGGAACCAAAGAGGTTATAATAATATTATATCTAGAACAAGAGTTTGTGGCAGTGATGTCCCCCCACGTAAACGAACAGGGGCTGCGTGAAGGCAAGACACGCGCAGTTCAACAGCCGGTAGTGTGCTTTTCGAGACTCGCGTGGAAGCGTCTTGGTGGTAGGGTAGGAGGAATCTACAATGTCTTTTATACGCGTGACGCCACTACTGCGAGCTCTAGCACTATGTAACCTCTTTGGGTTTCAGTACCTCTTGTGGGTGGACAGTGGACAGAATCGAGTAGAGGAACAAATCTCTGGCAAGACAAGTTTATGACGCCCACCGAGAGATATGAGGCTTTGACAGTGTATTCAAATACATGAACTGTTCTAGATAACTTTACTGATCCCAGTAGGAAGATTTATCTGACAATATCATTTGTAACAATACAGTGGGATCGGGCGCTCCTCAATTTTGGAGCATTCGGAGTTACTGGCATCATTTTAAAGCTTGTTCATCTGTCTTGCTATTGAAGGAAAAAATATCCATCTATCTTTACTAAAAGTCGAGATATTAGCTATTTAACGAGGTGGTTGTCGTCTGATTTCAGAGAAAAAAAAAGCTAAAATATGGCAGCCAAAGTTTTGTGATTTTCAAAGCTTGAGTATCCTTGAAAAGTGTGAATTTGCATGTTTCTGTACATTTGGTAAACGTCCAGAGAGAAAGCTATTTATAGATTCACGTTTAGAAGGTGTTGAGCCAAATAAAGAAAATTCGAAAGAACATTGCCCAGCGCGCAGAAAAATGACGGTTTATTTGATTTTTATTAATTTGACGAACGCCTGATTTCACCACGACGCCTCAATTATAACAGCGCAATCTAGAACAGTAATACACTCTTGCTGGGCGCCTGTATTTGTGCAGCGACCTGTTTTGGAGCAAGGGAAACACTTCTTATCTTGCTCAAGGACACACAGCTCTGGTGACCCCCCCAAAAAAAAACAAACAAACAGGAAACAAAAACAACAACAAAACAAAACAAACCGAAAAC